GTCTTAAGCACCGCGAACAGCTCCGGGATCAACTCCATCCCTTGCATGTCATAGTTCATCACGAAGATCTAGTAGCTTAGTGATAGTGGCTAGAGAACTCTATCAATCACTATCTTATCTGGAAGTTTAACTCCCACTTGATTTAAGTGATTGTAGCACCCAGACATTCTGAGCACATGCTCACTAGCTGAGCTATTCTCCTCCATCTTGTTGGCAAAAGAACTTGTCAGAGGTCTCACACCTCTCAACATGGGCATGAGCCTGAAATCCCAATTTCAGCTCTTGGAACATCTCATATGTTCTATGGCGTTCAAAACGTCATTGGAATCCCGATTCTAAGCCGTAAAGTATGGTGCACTAAACTATCAAGTAGTCATCAGGATGTGTCTATCAGGTGTTCACAACATCCACAGACGACGTTGTAGGGGTTTGCACATCGAGCGGTGCATCAAAGACGTAAGCCTTCTGTGTAGAAGTGAGGACACTCCTCGGACTATGGACCTAGTCCGCATCAGTGCTTACAATATCTTTCAACTTGGTCTTTCTCTAGGAACGTATTGAAACAGGGAGCTACAACGTGAGCTATTTATCTACAACATATTTGCAAAGACAATTTAGACTATGTTCATGATAATTGAGTTCATCTAATGAACTCCCACTCAGATAGACATCCCTATAGTCATCTAAGTGAAACATGATCCGAGTCAACTAGGCCGTGTCCGATCATCACGTGAGACGGACTAGTCAACATCGGTGAACATCTTCATGTTGATCGTATCTTCTATATGACTCATGCTCGACCTTTCGGTCTTCCGTGTTCCGAGGCCATGTCTGTACATGCTAGGCTCGTCAAGTCAACCTAAGTGTTTTTGTTGTGTAAATCTGGCTTACACCCATTGTATTCGAACGTTAGAATCTATCACACCCGATCATCACGTGGTGCTTCGAAACAATGAACCTTCGCAACGGTGCACAGTTAGGGGGAACACCTTTCTTGAAATTTTAGTGAGGGATCATCTTATTTAAGCTACCGTCGTTCTAAGCAAATAAGATGTAAAACATGATAAACATCACATGCAATCAAATAGTGACATGATATGGCCAATATCATTTTGCTCCTCTCGATCTCCATCTTCGGGGCTCCATGATCATCGTTGTCACCGGCATGACACCATGATCTCCATCATCATGATCTCCATCATCGTGTCTTCTTGAAGTTGTCTCGTCATCTATTACTTCTACTACTATGGCTAACGCTTTAGCAATAAAGTAAAGTAATTACACGACGTTTATGTTGACACGCAGGTCATAAATAAATAAAGACAACTCTTATGGCTCCTGCCGGTTGTCATACTCATCGACATGCAAGTCGTGATTCCTATTACAAGAACATGATCAATCTCATACATCACATATATCATTCATCACATCCTTTTGGCCATATCACATCACAAGGCATATGCTGTAAAAACAAGTTAGACGTCCTCTAATTGTTGTTGCAAGTTTTTACGTGGCTGCTATAGGTTTCTAGCAAGAACGTTTCTTACCTACGCGAAAACCACAACGTGATATGCCAATTTCTATTTACCCTTCACAAGGACCCTTTTCATCGAATCCGATCCGACTAAAGTGGGAGAGACAGACACCCGCTAGCCACCTTATGCAACTAGTGCATGTCAGTCGGTGGAACCAGTCTCACATAAGAGTACGTGTAAGGTCGGTCCGGGCCGCTTCATCCCACAATGCCGCCGAATCAAGATAAGACTAGTAACGGCAAGCAAATTGACAAAATCGACGCCCACAACAACTTGTGTTCTACTCGTGCATAGAAACTACACATAGACCTAGCTCATGATGCCACTATTGTGGAACGTAGCAGAAATTCAAAATTTTCTACGCATCACCAAGATCAATCTATGGAGTAATCTAGCAACGAGGGAAGGAGAGTGCATCTACATACCCTTGTAGATCGCTATGCGGAAGCGTTCAAGTGAACGGGGTTGATGGAGTCGTACTCGTCGTGATCCAAATCACCGATGATCCTAGTGCCGAATGGACGACACCTCCGTGTTCAACACACGTACAGCCCGGTGACGTCTCCTACGCCTTGATCCAGCAAGGGGAGAAGGAGAGGTTGGGGAAGACTCCATCCAGCAGCAGCACGACGGCGTGGTGGTGGTGAAGGAGCGTGGTACTCCAGCAGGGCTTCGCCAAGCACCGCAAAAGACGAGGAGGGAGAGGGGTAGGGCTGCGCCAAGAAGGAGATGTTCTCGTGTTTCTGGCAGCCCAAAAACCCCACTATATATAGGGGAAAGGGAGGGGCTGCGCCCCCACCTAGGTTTCCACCCCTAGGGGTGGCGGCCAGCCCTAGATCCCATCTAGGGGGCGGCCAAGAGGGGAGAGAGGGGGGGCGCACCACTAGGTGGGCCTTAGGCCCATCTGAGCCTAGGGTTTCCCCCTTTTCCCTTCTCTCTTCGCCTTGGGCCCTGGTGGGGGGCGCACCAGTCCACCTGGGGCTGGTCCCCTCCCACACTTGGCCCATGCAGTCCTCTGGGGCTGGTGGCCCCACTTGGTGGACCATCGGGACCCTCCCGGTGGTCCCGGTACATTACCGATAAAACCTAAAACTTTTCCGGCGACCAAAACAGGACTTCCCATATATAAATCTTTACCTCCGGACCATTCCGAAATTCCTCGTGACGTCCGGGATCTTATCCGGGACTCCGAACAACATTCGGTAACCACGTATATCTATTCCCTATAACCCTAGCATCATCGAACCTTAAGTGTGTAGACCCTACGGGTTCGGGAACCATGCAGACATGACCGAGACAACTCTCCGGTCAATAACCAATAGCGGGATCTGGATACCCATGTTGGCTCCCACATGTTCCACGATGATCTCATCGGATGAACCACGATGTCAAGGATTCAATCAATCCCGTATACAATTCCCTTTGTCTAGCGGTACGATACTTGCCTGAGATTCGATCGTCGATATCCCGATACCTTGTTCAATCTCGTTACCGGCAAGTCTCTTTACTCGTTCTGTAACACATCATCCCGTGATCAACTCCTTGGTCACATTGTGCACATTATGATGATGTCCTACCGAGTGGGCCCAGAGATACCTCTCCGTTACACGGAGTGACAAATCCCAGTCTCGATTCGTGCCAACCCAACAGACACTTTCGGAGATACCTGTAGTGTACCTTTATAGCCACCCACTTACGTTGTGACGTTTGGCACAACCAAAGCACTCCTACGGTATCCGGGAGTTGCATAATCTCATGGTCTAAGGAAATGATACTTGGCATTAGAAAAGTTTTAGCAAACGAACTACACGATCTTGTGCTAGGCTTAGGATTGGGTCTTGTCCATCACATCATTCTCCTAATGATGTGATCCCGTTATCAACGACATCCAATGTCCATGGTCAGGAAACCGTAACCATCTATTGATCAACGAGCTAGTCAACTAGATGCTTACTAGGGACATGGTGTTGTCTATGTATCCACACATGTATCTGAGTTTCCTATCAATACAATTCTAGCATGGATAATAAACGATTATCATGAACAAGGAAATATAATAATAACCAATTTATTATTGCCTCTAGGGCATATTTCCAACACACACCCATCGCCTCGTCGGCCGCACCCTCGAAGCCCCCACCGATCTCCCTGGCTCGCCCCTCTTCGTGCCAGATCGCTGTTTCTACCGAGGTATATAGCTAGCGCCGTTTTTTTCGGGCCGGCCCGTGAGCACGCCGGCACGGCCCGCCTTGGGCCACGCACGTCACGGGCTAAACGGGCCAGACCCGGCACGCGGCACACCCTGGGCCGTGCCTGGGCCTGGAGGCTGGGCACGCGGGCCGGCACGGCACGGCCCGATTATGTTTTTTTATATGTTTTATATCTATATATGGCCCAACATATAAAAATAAGCTAAAAAACGCTCATTGCGTCAAATAACAGGCTGAAAATATGCAGCCCACCGTGCTAAACGGGCCAACGTGCCGGCCCGTTTACTAACTGGGCTGTGTCAGGGCATGGGGGCGCAGCATGCGGGCCGGCACGGCACGGCCCGTATAGTAATCGTGCTCTGGCAGGCCGTGCCGGGCCAGACACGATTACGATGGGCCGGCCCGTTTGGCCAGGTATGCCGAGGTATGCTTCGACGCCTTCCACAAACACCCATGGAAGAGTGACCAGTGGAGGGTAACCCAGAAGTCCGCCTTTTGGTTTCCACGAGCACTCGCCAAAATTAATCGCTCCCAAATCCTCCACTCCGGTGTAACTTTAAATTGCTCGCATTGCTCTTGGGATGTGGCCTACACACACCACACACAACATCGTCTCGCGGGAAGAGGAAGAGAGCGAATCGATCGATAGCATACGCAGAGCCAGCGAGCCCGGGCCGTCCTGCCATGAGCAGCTGCTTTTCTCGCCTCGCTTCCCCTCCTCCTAGCTGGCTTGTCGCATGATGGATCTGTCCAAGTATGTGGCCGATCTCATATGCTTCTTCCGTAGGTATGTAAAAATAATGTGTACTGCAGTGGACGGATTAATTCTTGGTCCCAAATTTAGTACTCCCTCTGTAAACTAATATAAGAGTGTTTAGATTACTAAAGTAGTGATCTAAATGTTCTTATATTAGTTTACAGAAGGAGTAGTTAATAAAAGTAGGCCAGTTCTTTTTTTAATCTAGTGTTAGCATGTTTGGTTTGATGTTTCCAAAACAAACCTAGACCGTTCACCAGAGGATGGACGGCCGTCCTTGCACCAGCGGGATGCTGCTGCCTCCACGAGGATTAAGGTGGAAGAGAGGGGAAAGGAAACTCATTTTCTCCAAAACCCTCCCGGCTACTCCCCTTCTCGTCTTTTTCTTGTAGTACCACATCGCAAAACAAGAGAAAAATCCGGACCTTGCGGCTTTCCCCCTTGCTCGGCTGCTAACCGGATTCGCGTCTCAGGCTCGGGATCCGGGCGTTCCGTGCGATGGGCGGCGGCGGCGGCGGCGGCGGCGGCGGCGCGGAGGAGGAGCTGACGGCGCAGGAGACGGCGCTCTACGACCGCCAGATCCGCGTCTGGGGCGTCGATGCCCAGAAGAGGTGCCTCCCCTCTCCCAAGAACCCACCCTTGCTCCCGTTTCCCCCCCTTCCGTTTACCGCATTATTTTCTGTATTTCTGCTGGGTTATCGCGTCTTGTTTTGTCTCGAAAAACACGTCCTGTGGTCTTCTGGGGCTCCCGGGAGTTTCAAGCCGAGATTCAGCCTTTTGCACAGTATCAAGCCTTTTCCTCTGTTATGACCGTGGATTTTAATTTTTATGTGAACCCGGTTTCATGCTTTCGGTAGGATTTTTTTGGACTTGATTTCTTCTGCCAATGTTCTTTGTTCTATTTCGCCTCTTCCTCTTTTCCCCTGTAGGTTCGGTAGAATTTTGTTTGGGTGCATTCATCTCTTTTTATCTGACTGTTATATTTGTGTTTGCTTGGAGCAGGCTAAGTAAGGCGCATGTGCTTGTGTGCGGCGTCAACGGTACTACTATTGAGGTGGGTCACTAAAATTGCCTTCTATTATTGTACTTCACAGACAATTTATCTTTTCGTTTTAATCTTTAATGGTCTGCTATTGATTATATCTGAAAATAGCATGGAAATTAGGGTTCAAGCTGTTACGATAGTAATTACTGTATCAGGGTTCAAGGTTGTTATAACTAGTATGTGTGGATTGGACTAATGTTCTGTATTTTGCATTGCTGAAATTATAATGTCCAACTCTGTCATTTTGAGTTTCTTTAAACTGTCTATGTGCTAGCCTGCTAGTTTTCTTTTTAAGTGCTAAATCTTTTTCGTTGCAAGATAAAAATAATTACATTATAACTTACCGTTCCTTTGATTCTCACTCATGTTCTATCTTGTCAAACCATACTGATTTTCCAAACAGAGGCCCACAGTTCTTCTTGACATTGATTAAATTTCAGTATTTTAACTTTTCACATGATATTTACAGTTTAGTTAATTCAGTGAAGGCAATCACATACACTAAAGTTGATTTCTCTCCTACTCCGCAGTTCTGCAAGAACATTGTTCTAGCAGGAGTTGGCAGTTTATCATTGATGGACGATCACATGGTCACAGAGGATGATCTCAATTCAAACTTCCTAATTCCTCATGATGAGAGTGTGTATGGTGGTAAATCACGGGCAGAGGTTTGCTGCGAGTCCTTAAAAGATTTCAATCCAATGGTCCGAGTTGCTGTTGCAAAAGGTGAGCTGTATAGTTTGATGCACGTTCTCCTTAAGCTTGGTTATAGTTAAGAAATATATATTGTGTACAGTGATCATGTCTTGTATTCTTGAATTGGTTTGTTCCAAAATTACTGGCAGGAGTGTCTTCAATTTATTGTGTTAACTGATAATGCACTCATAATGCTGCTATTGTTGAGAAAGTTCTTGCAAGAAAGATCATTTAATGATAGGAACAATCAGTTGTTATGGTATTGTACACTGTTTTACTAATATTGTTTCTGTAAGATATATTTTTAACCATTCTTTGTTGGCCATAAAATCCGAGATTATTTTTACAGTATTGATTGGAAAAGTTCTAACTATGAGTTGGTCGACATTATTTGTATCACCAAAGAACTAGCCATGGACAGGGGTGCGTGGAAGCTTGCTATCCATGTGCCAGAACCATGAGTTGGTCACGAGATCTTATGGGTTTCACCTCTAGCCTACCCCAACTTGTTTGGGACTAAAGGCTTTGTTGTTGTTGTTGTTGTTGTTGATTGGAAAAGTTCTAACTATTATGTTATTTTCTCCAGGTAACCCATCACTAATTGATGGAACATTCATTGACATGTTCGACATTATTGTAGTCAGCTGCGCATCTCTTAAAACAAAGGTGTAGATCCTTCTCTGAAGTAGTATTTTCATAACTTTTAGTTTTTTCTGTCACATTCCGTTTCTCATCCTTACTATTTTTACATCTGTGTTATATTTTTAGTTGTTTATTAATGACAACTGCCGGAAGAGAAGCAAGCATATTGCCTTCTACTCTGTAGAGTGCAAGGATTCTTGTGGTGAAATATTTGTTGATCTGCAGGACCATAGCTATCTTCAGGTATGTATTTGTTAAGGACTTGTAACATCTAGTCTATAGATCCGTTGATTAGCATTGTATTACTTGCTTTGTTCACAAGCCAAAAACATGTACGCCTTCTTATTTGCTTAAAAAATATTAAAAAATACTGGGCTCAATGGCAATCACTCCCATGTGTCAATAAGTACATAACATAATGGGGGTTGCTGCTGGAGTTGGATCTGTTATTTGTGGGCTCAGGAAATAAGGGCAGCCCCCATTTCGGATTTGGCCTTTAGGGGCTCTAAAGTGGGGGCTACTGGTGGTGATACTCAGAATGCTTAGAATGCTTTCCATATTTATGATAACTGCGGCATGCAATTTTTGTCTTCAGTTCATTCTTAAAATGTACATCCCTGAAATTGTTTTTATTTTTCAGAAGAAGCCTGGAGGAGAACCTGAACAGCAGGAGTTGAAATATCCTAGTCTGCAGGTATGGAAGTTTTTTTTTTGAATTTTTTTGTAGGTTGGTCTTTATAGAGATAAAGTCTTTTAGTAGCTGTGCTCTCTTGTTTTGTACTCCTCAAGTTGGCGATCCATGTTTTGCTGCCATGTGCTTTTCTGGGGAGTATTTACTATGCAGGTTATACAAATTACATGATACACAGAAGTGTTTCATGGCAGCAGAAGAAAAAAAGATAATAAGTGCTTTTATTGCAATTCGTTTTTCATCTTGTTCTGATGTGGCTCTGTGATGCCCATCTACCCTTATTTGGAAAGGCCTGCAATTTCTTTTTTGGGTAATACATATGCTGAAGGCAGCTCTGTTCATTGTTCTTTTTATACTGCTTCTGTACTTCATTAAATTGTTTGTTTCATGCAAGTACTTATGCATGCTTGCTATGTGTTTGTTGCCACTTAAGTACTGGTTCAATCTGGTTATTGTACTGATGGTGCTATATTACTCCTATCCTGTTACTCCTGTAGTTCAGTTGTACAATATTACCGGAATACCTGCATATGATTTACCTGCAGGAACCGATATCACCACCTTTTGGATGCTTTGATTGCCAAATATAAAATTTCAATTCCAACGATTGCAATTGTACACTACTACTGAACCTCATATGACTTGCTTACAAATCAGTATCACACTCTTCTGGATGCTTCATGTTAGTAAGTATTACAATTTGAATCACAATGAGTGCATTTACATTTGTTTTTTTATACAGGAAGCTATTTCTGTGCCCTGGAAGGATCTGTCCAAAAGAACAACTAAATTGTACTACGCAATGAGAGGTGATGATATGATAACCTAAAATACTGTTCCTAAGGTTTTGCTTGTCTAATAGTGGTAACTGTGTTTGTTTACTTTCTTGGCCTTTTTTTCCTGGGCAAATATCAGGCGAAAATTGGGATCAATGTGTTTCATTTGTACGTACATCAATGATAAATATTTAGTAGAACAGATCAAATTGTATCGTTATTTCACTAAGTTTTTTTTTTCATATCTCACAAAGCAAATGAGCTTGCTCCTCTGCGGACATAGAATATAACATCCCATGCTCAACTGGTTCTCTGAGATTTTCTTTAGGACTTCTATATTTGTTTTTCACCAAAATAACTGATTTGCATGTTCACTTGAACTGCCACCAAGAACCCTTTTGACTGTTACCTATCCGTATTTTTCCCTGTCTTGGTTTTGTAACTAACATAAACATGTCTGTTTGTAGTCTTGGAAAGTTATGAATCATCTGAAGGGCGCGACCCTGGTGAGACATCACTTTCTGATCTGCCTGCAGTTTTGGCTCGGAGGAAGGATATGTGTGATAGAATGGTACAGCTTTGGCCGTTTGTTGTACTTTGAGTATTTGAGTCACTTTTCTTCAGATATTTTACATGGCACTTTAAACTGCAGTCTGTGGACGAGTCTAAAATTCCTACGTCTCTTCTGGAACGGCTTCTAGCAGCTGGGAAAAAGGAACATCCTCCTGTATGTGCAATCCTTGGTGGCATTCTTGGTCAGGTAGGTCCAATCTTCCACCCTTGATTTTCTGTTTCTTCTATTCTTTAGTTTTTGTGCTAGCTGGAAAATAAGCACAGTAATTTAATTCATTTACGTTTACGTATACTATCTTTTTTTTCCATGTGTAACATAATAGCTCAACAGGAAATATAGTCATCTCAAGCAATGTGTATGTCATTATTACTTGGCAAAAGTAGGTGACATATTGAGATGATACTTTAAATACAGTCACTTTGACATAATGGTAGGATCTATTACTGACATAGCACAAATTACTGTAAAGTTGATAACAGTAAGCGACAATATTCTTCTCTGATTTATTGAGGGGTCGGCTCCTTCATATAGTTGGACACGACTTGACCGACAAGCTGGTGACTCTATTTAAACTCTAATACGATCTATGAACTGACTGGACTCATTCCAAACAAACTTGCTAAACCAACTATGACCCTAATTAAGGAATAAGACTCCACGTTTGATGGGCTGGCCCTCACTACACAGAATTCCAAGTTTAAATTAACCGAGTCAACGCAAGTCCAAACGAGACTTCAACTAACTATGATTTATTTAAAGCTCGAATATGCTTTTTTCAGCTAAATAAAATCACTGTGAAACTAGCAAAATCTCTTCATGATATGTTAAATCGAAATCATCATATCTTTGTTGGTCACACAAAGATTTCATGTCATGTAAAGTAACCGTGGTATGTTATATCTAACATTTGTCCGTTAAGGTTCAGTTAAACCGGACTTGTCCTGGCTCAGCTGTACAAGTTTGAGAACACAAATGTGCAATGTTCAGGCGGCCCAAGCTATTAACTTTTAGTCCATATGTCACATGCTATTTGCTGAAATTTTTATTTACATGCACCAACACCAAAAGCATTTCACTAGACCTACCAGACAAGTTGCATCCTCTTCCTGTTGCCCTTCCATTTAAAGCCTACTTATGTGTGAATATTCTCTATATCATACTGGTCACGGATTGATACTTTGTTTTTGGATTTAACAGGAGGTGATCAAATCAATATCTTGCAAGGGCGATCCGATCAAGAATTTCTTTTACTTCGACGATGCTGATGGTAAAGGGGCCATGGAGGACATCCCCCCAACTCCTGAAGACTAAATCACGTGATACCTAACTCTCATCCGACATGGCTTGCTGATAATTGTACCCAATCATTAGAGTCGAACATGTGACAACTCTAGTTCAGTGGCTGAGGCTGGAAACTCAACTCAGCACTTTAGTGTTTTTATTATTGTACTTAGCGTTCGTTTTAGCGTTGGCATCATGCTATGGCACCTGGGTACTGCGATGAACAGAACTGACATTCTCGTCCAAAGAATTTCAAAGCTGAAGGCAGGCATGCTATTGAATGATGAAATGATTTGTTTTCTGCTTGCCTTAGTAGTGGTTAGTGATTAGAATACAAATATATCACAAGTAATGAAAGAATAAACAGTGATACAAGAAATGCGCAAGCTCTTCCCTCGGTGCTTAGAGCATCTTCAGCTATTGGCCCCCCACGGGGCGCCTAAAATCGCCCCTGGGGGTGAGCTGGCGCAAAAACTCGGCCCCAGGGCTGAGTTGGTCCCCAGCCGTCCCCAGCCGCCGGTCCCAGGGCCATCCCCAGGCGCGGTAATTTTTTTAAAATATGTTGCAAAGTTCAAAGTTCGGCATATATTACATTTAAAAAGTGGTTTTTTATTACATATATAATTAAAAAATTTTTGGCTAAAAGCCGAGTAGTCGCCACGGCCGTCGTCGTTGTCGTCGTCCGCCTTTTCCTCCTTGTGGTGGACCCCTGACCGGCGTCGCCTATGCGGGCTGGTGGCGGTGGCGCAGTGTCGTCGTCGCTGTCCTCGATGACGACGATTCCTCCCTCGTCGCGGCGCTGCGTGAATCGCTGCAGGGCGGCGCACTTGCGCTCCCTCGCCATCTACAGGAAGTCCGGGCGCGCCCATTCTAGGGCCGCGTCGTCGTCGAGCTCGACGTCGGCGCTGTGCTCCGTCTTCACCGCGGGGAGGCCTGGCTCTGTCTTCACTGGCGCCAGGCCCGGCTCCGTCTTGGGCTTGACGAAGTGCGGAGGAGCCGACGAGGGGGCGCGCCGGCCGCCCTCATTGATGACGATGCCGGCGTTGCGAGTGCGCCGGCCGAGCGGCGTCTCCGCCGCGGGCTCGGCCTTGACGCCGAGCAGCACCGGAGTGCCGGACGAGTGTGAGGAAGAGCAGGAGGAGGAGGAAGAAGAGGAGGCGCCGAACCTCCTGGGCAACCATTGCCCGTCGCGTCGGCGGTGAGCCGTGGCCGTGGCAGCCGCCCTCGCCGGGGGGTATGCCAACGGCGGGTCGTTGCCGCCCTCGAGGTACGTCAGAACGCCCTCGAGGGTCCGGCCGGGGACACCCCACCACAGACAGCGTCCGTCGCTGTTCTTCGGCTGGCCACCACCGGCGCGCCGTTGGTGGACGCCAGCCTCTGCTGATGCCGGCGCTGGAAGTACGCCGTCCACGTCGCTGTGTTGTCGGCGGCGTACTCGGGGAGGGCGAGCTGGGCGGCGGTGAGGGAGGCGCGCACGACGTCGACCTCGTCGGCGAAGTAGTCCGGTTTCGCCACGACGTCGGGCAACCCCCCGTTGCTGAGTCCCCCGTTGCTGAGTCCCCACCCCGTTGGCCCGGCGCGCATGTCTGGCGGCGCCGGGATGTTCGCCTGGAACATGAGCCAAGACTCCTGTTCGCGGAGCGATCGGCGGCCGAAGCCGTTGGCCGCGGCCTCATCGTCGGGGAATCGCTCGGCCATCGGGAGAGGAAGAGCTCGGCGGCGGCGCTTGGGAGAGGTAGAGGGCGGGCTAGGGCTGGTGTGGCTGGTGTAGCCAGAGGCGAGGGAGGCCACTGGCTTATATAGCGGCGGCGCCCTGTGTGTGCGCGTGCGAGGGAGGGGAGGCGTCGGCGCGCCGCCCCGTGAACGCGCCGTCCGTGAGGAATCACTGGTAAGGCTGACTGGCGGCAGCCTTGCCATTGATTACCCGCGGGAAACCGATGCTTTCGGGGAAGAAGACGCGGGGTGTCGCTGACACGGCGGGCCCACGGCTCTTTCGCGCCAAAATCGCTCGTCCTGGCGCCCCCGAGCGCCCCTGGCGCGCCGGGTTCGTCCTGGGTCCGTCAACGCTAAATTCGGTCCAGGCCGGCGAAAATCAGGCTCCTGGGGTGCGAGTGGGCCGATTTTTCAGCGCCGGCGCGAAAAAAACGCCTAGATAGACTTTTCTGGGAGCGCGGCTGAAGATGCTCTTACACATTGTCATCCGCCATGGTGAATCCAAGCTAATATGCAGAGTGAATGAAAGGGGGAAAATACCCTAATATTTTCTTAAACTGTATCAGCCAAAAACAATTAGTCATGCAATAACATTTTTCTAAAAACCATACAATTTACTACTCTCTCCGTCTAGTACAACTTTGTATTAGTTAGTACAAAGTCAAGACAATTATTTTGCGACGGAGGAAGTATTTAGTAAGTGTAAATAAGTGCAAGACTTGGTTTACTATTTTTCTGCTTTGTATTCGTTACATTGTTGCGGCAGAGGCTGCTTGGATAATAAATGGCAGCATTGTCCCCTAAAAAACAATATTTTTAAAAAGTAATTGTTTTTAAATACATGAATATTTTTTGAAATACATCAACATTTTTGTAAACACAATATTTCAAAACGGCTTTTACAAATAAGTAGACTTTTTAAAACGTATGGGATTTTTATAAATATGTGAACATTTTTTAATGCATTAAAACTACATGATTTACGTACTATTCAAATCACTTTCACACATTTCTCCTAAAATATGTTAAGTGAAAAAGGAAAAGGGAAATCTGTATGGCCCAGCCCACGTACCATTCTTTGCTTAATGCGGAAGTAGGAGCACTGACCTTTACCTAAAAAAAAGGAGCACTGACCTAAATGCAAAGTGGAGTGGTTCATTACTCCAAGCTTTTTTTTTTCTTTTCTTTTGCGGGGTAATAGGAGTTTATTCAAAGATTATAGAGTTGCAATCAAGAGGCACACGTTCCTTAGTACATGGGGGACTATTGATTATTAAGACACACTGCAAAAATATTAAATTGTTCCAACAAGACTTGACAAAGAACTAGAGAAGACGCATGAAGGAGTACCACAAGGACGTGTCTGGTGGAGCGTGTCAGACTGTTCGGGGATGTGGGTGTTTGGCTGATGGGAGAAATCCATGCCGGCTCGCCGGCACCGACGCGGCGACGCCCGCTCATGTTCACGTTACATGCTAAATCAGGCTTTCGTTGGAAAAACCAACGCCGACCTACAAACCAGTCTCCTTTCTCTTTTTGGAAGTAGAGCTGAAAAAGATGAAGTTACCTGGAAATGGATCTGGGTTTGTTAATTGCCGAATTCGTGAGAAAGTTAAATTTACCTTAGTAGGGCTCGAACCTACAATATCACCGTTATGAGCGGTACGTTTCAACCAATTAAACTATAAGCCCAATCGAATCTCTACATGCCGGGAAGAGCGGACAGGAAGATGAGACCTTTGCTCTATCTCCTTCTTCCTCTTCCCGGGGCCCCCTCCGCATACCGGGGGAAACCCTAGAGCCTGTCCGGGCAGTAGCGTCGTCGTCGTCGTCGTTGTGTTCCTTTTTGAAGGTGCTGCTTGGTATGCGGAGGTTCGAGGTGCTTGGAGCGAGGTGGTATATCTTCGGTGGGCGCAATAGTTTCAGGTTATCATCATTTTTGTCGATCCGACGCTGTTAACATTGTTTTCTCTCTTCTTTCTCTTTTGTTTCTTTTGGGCATGCTTGTGCTGTTTGCCCCAGCATTGGACTCTTTGTTGTATCGGGTGGTTGCTATATCTATATACTGGGGCGAAAGCCTATTTCGTCGAAAGAGTACCACGAGGACTACAAGGCTGGTGACTGATTCAGATATTCACATATACATGGGTGTTCAAAATGACAAAACAAAATCAACATGAAGGGAAGGATTATTGGTGTACCCTAACACTTCAGCATTAATAAAGAGAAAAATTTGGGTACCGGCTCAATTAACTTTAGATTGTTAGACCCCTAACTTTGTTCTTATCATTACTTTCAAAAGGAAATAAAATCGATCCCCGCACCATTGCTAGTTATCAAAACACTCGGCCAGTTACTTATAATCTGTTACAATTTTACAAACACATATGCTGAAAGAATAAACAATGGTACAAGAAAGGCCCAGTTCAACTATTGCTTCCACATTGTTGTCATCCGCCCACTATCGCTTCTGGCCCCACGAAAAAGAGCACAGTATTTTTTGTTGTTGCTGATTCTCGGATGTGTAGGCCATCACCTCACCTACCCGATGAATCCAAGCCGATGGAGGATGAACGCCAAGATCAGCATGACAATGGCAAAGATGAAGCCTTTCCTGCCTAGTAGCCAGTCCTTCGTCTTCTTTGCTGCTTCGACTCCTCGCTGTGCTCTGCCGATCCATTTCATCATTTTTTGTAAATCTTGTGGAGAGAATGAAGACATAGCTTGTTGAGCGTTGGCTGCATCCTCCCTGGACAACTTGATACCGAACAGCTCACTCATGTTTGACATCGCATCAGGGCTCATGTTCTCCACCATGGATGTAAACATCTCCCACATAGCAGGGTCTGCCATACTGACCATGCCAGGTGAAATTCCTGGCACATTGGATCCCAAATCTGGAGCAACAGGGATTGCTCCGCTTGATGAAGAAGCAACCTGAGACGTAGTATTTACCAAGCTTCCTAAAGAGTCAGATTGTGTCGAGTTTCGTGCTCCATCATGTGGCTGTGAAACAGCAGTAGAAGAAGAACTCCTTTGAGCGCTTGGCAGATCAGAACTAACATCTTCTTCTACAACTTCCTCAATGACAACTCTCTTTGGCTGGTCTGCTGCTCCCCCTCCGGTTTCAAGTTTTTCTTGAGCCTCTGTCAGAGCTTGAGCGACAGTTTCGTCGTCCGGAGACATCTCATGGGCTTTACTCAGGTCAGCAACAGCAGCCTGGAGGTTTCCCAGCTCCTTGTACGCCTGACCCCTTCGGTAGTACGCTTTGGCAGTGCCCGAGTGATACTCATAGCTCAAAACCTCCGAGCCTTCAT